GTTAAAAAAGTTTCAAAAATCCAATAGATTTCGTTCCACTTCACAATTGTGTCCCACTTGTTGGTGATTCTTCACATAAAATAAAAAAATTATATCTTTATGTTTGAAGCCTGAAATGTGGCAAAAGGTTGAAAAGTTCAAGGGGGCCGAATACTTTCGCAAGGCACTGTATGTATACTGTATACTGTAGATGTTGTACAAAATTGTTTCTCTCACTTGTTTGGCTTAATGCTCCAATGCTCTTACAGGGAGAACAAGGTGCAGCTGGCTCTCAGGGAGAACCAGGAATGGACGGATTGCCAGGCACAAAAGTAAGAGTCTGATAACATGATGAGAAAAAAAAGCTTAATTTATCAAGAAGGAAAATTGTTCACCTAAACCCTTTTTTGTTTTTTAATATTTATAAATAGGTTCATTCCTCTCAAATTTCTAATACTTTAATCATTTGAAAAATTCTGTAGGTTGTTATATTACTGAAACATTTGGCTGATGAGTTATTACATTCAGATAACAACCATTGACAGCAAATAATTACAGTGGTCACACTATACCGTAGTTGAGGTGGGTAGCTGCGTCAGCATGCGTAGGCTGCAAAGGAACAAGTAATAGGTTTATTCCATGCTGAAAAAAAGAAAAAAATCTTTTTTTCAGCATGGAATAAACCTATTACTTGTTCCTTTGCACACTATACCGTATACAGTATGCTACTTTTTTTCTGAAGAATCCCAGGCTACACTGAGAATCAACTTATTAGGCTTAGGCTTTCTTCCCACTCCTGTACACACCATGTGCTAGTCACTTACAATCTTTACCATAGTTAATTCCATGAAAATCATTCAACAACATCACACTAATTCACAATCACATTAAAGCCAATGAAATAAATTGTAGCTAACTGAATGCACCTGTAAAGATGGTGAATGTTTTTTTCTCCATTTTCTGGCAGGGGGAAAAGGGAGAGGTGGGTGATCCTGGGCCTCATGGTGAAATGGTGAGTTTGGAGTTTTTTTACCCCTTTCTTGGAGTGTAAAGGTATCTCTTGAATATGCTGGGCTGCAGTGGGTAAGCACAGTTGTTCTGGATGATTTATATGTTAATCTACTGTGTTAATTTATTGTCATTGAAGGGGCAGCCTGGAATTCCTGGCGAGAATGGAATGAAGGTAAATATTCATTGATTCATTCTAAGCAGATACTCTAAGACTGAATTTTAATTCAATTTTAATTTAATTTTTACGGTTGCAAGAATATATGTCATAAATCAGTAGAGGTCATTTGTTTTTTTCTTTTCCTCATATTTTTTGTGGTTATATACATAGAAAAGGGCCTCGACTAGCTCTGCTGGTAGAGCATGAGACTCAACTTAAGGTAGTGGGTTTGTGTCCCACGTCAGGCACCAGATCCTCCATGTTGGAGGTTGGGCACATGGCTAACAACCCCGTCCCATAAAAACTAAATGTTACAGAAACAGCAACAGGATGTTGCTGCTCCTACATGCTGGAAGGCATAACGGGCAAACATCCATATACATAGAACATATGTGGACTGCATGTTAGGCTAATGCAATGATGCAAAATACATGTTGGCCTCATGTTCTTCTACTGTTCTTTTTCTTTTACCTCTTATATACTTGAATGAGCTTGAATGAGCTAATAATTTGTTTGAATACAGTATGCCAGATTGATTCCTTTCACAGCAGAAGAAGTTGGTAAGTCCCATGAAATCTGATAGCCTGTAAATACTGATGTAGATTTCTTCTCTACCTGCAGGGAGAACCTGGTCAGAAGGGAGAGGAGGGAATGACTGGGCCCAGAGTATGTGTATTTAAAATCACGTTGAGTTATTAGTGTTGTTTTTATTTTACTGCACAACTCCCTTTTACTGGTAATTAGCATTCATTCAATCTTCACTAGGTTCTAATTGAATGATGTATCATTACTCATTACACACAATTAAACATGTTTTCAAAAATTGTCCTTATTAATTATTAAACTTTGCATACATCTCACAGTTTTGTTTGGGCATCTCATTCAACTACTGGTGAAAATAAACACACAACCAGGAATGTTTAAAAATTAAAACTGCAGGCCTGAAATGCAAGTTAAACAGATTTCAGGATTAGTGATCAGTATTGCCTATCCATAATGGGTTGATCAAGCAATAAGATGCTGAAATCTTAATTTTAAAGAACACAATATTTCATTATTATCACACAAGTTAATGTTTGTAACTAGGAAACAGAATAGGTCAAAGGTAAATGTGAAAACATGTCACCTAAGTAAACATAATAAGCCTTGATATCGTGTCTTATTTTTAAAGACATCACTCATTATTTTATTTTTTTACTCTTACTTATTGACTTGTTCCTAGGGTTTACCTGGCCTGAAAGGTCAACCAGGTGCCACAGAAATAATTGACTACAACGGAAAACTTCATGAAGCCCTTCAGGTATAAATATTTAAAAAGCAGTTAAGTGTAAGACCAATTAATGGACCAAAGTCATTCAGTGCAGCAAAGGTTTCTTAGCATCTTTCCTTTCAGAACTCCATAGGAGAATTCTTCTTCAGATCTTTTCTAAAAGAGTGCTTCTTTCTTTATTACCGCATACAATACTTGAAATCACTTTAAAACACTATATTAAACAATATATAGAAATATAGATACTGAGAAGCCATTTATTTTTACCAGTGGTAATTGTCTTATGTACCTAAACACTTGTAAATGATTTTATTCTTTTTCAGAAGTGGAATTGCTCTGAATGATCAGATAAAATTTACTTTATAACCAGCATTTGTAAATAGAATTTCAGATCGAAACTTTTAAACCATTTTTAAATTAATAGGATGATAAAATAAACTCAGTGTCATCAGATGTTAGCAAAACATCCCCATGAGAAAATATTTATGAGGGCTTAGGCTGGTCTCAGAACCAATTTTAAATTGTTTTCATTTTTTTTCTTGTAGAAATCTTAAGAGATTTATGAATATAAACTTCTTATAAACATCTCTAGAGGTTTCTTGGCTTTTTCTCCTTATGAAATTATTGTTTTGTGTATTTCTGATGCCTTTGTGAAATCTTCTGTAGTCATTTGAAAGTTTTCTTATAAAAAAATCTGGAAATGGTCAACTAGAATCTGCAGTACCTGTAAAGTGGAGTATTACTGTGTCTTTGATGGTTGTATGGTTGTACAAAGGCCTTTATTGTTGGAACCTCTCAAAGCAGGTTATAAATACAACAAGTAAAAAATTAAACAATGGTACATATAAATGTATGTAGCATTTACATGTATATTCAACATCAGAAATTGTTTGAAAAAAAAGAAATGCTTTTTATGTTTGTTTTTTTAAAATGAACTGGAAACTCATACATCATCATTATGTACAACCGTCCACTGTTTTGCTCCATTAATAGAGAAAGACTTTCCAATGTATGATGCCTCATTATGGAGCAGCTATGCACCAAAATCCAGTGACCAAAGCAGTCAGGATGAAATGCAAACAGTCAGTAAATCTGTTAAAATAAAAGGAGACAGATTATATTGTGCTTTGTTTATTTGTTTTTAGAAAGAATCATAAACATAACATACAAAATAAAAACATAGGAATGGTTACAAATGTAATGATGCCAGCCCCAGCTCATCTAATGTGTTTGGTAGTTAATATCCACTTTGTCCAAGGACCTCATCCAGCTGTTGCTAGAAAGAAACCAGGTTATTGCCTAAATAGCTTGTTCCAGACCCCCACAACTGTTTGGGTAAAGTGCTTCCTCTTCTCAGTTTTAAATGCACTTGTACATAGTCTCCACATGTGTCTTCTGGTTTGTTTTTCACTTTTCATTGTCAAAATATTAGGTGGGTTGTTTTTTTTTTAAAAAGTGATGTTCTTGTAGAACGTAGATTTGGTTCAAATTGATCTGGTTTCAAATTATAAATGCCAGGGTGTTACAGCTGGGTAGTTGGTAAATGTTCAAACCATTGATGACCATGCTAAAGTTATCCAAATTGTACAGTTTGTACAAGGGTTCCAAACGTATAACCTCTGTTTTGTTATTAATTAGCTCTGAAGAATTTTGTTCCACCCAAGATTTAATATTTAACTGACATCTTGGAAAACTAAAGACTCTTGGATCAATACCAGACATTTCAAACAGTAACAATAGATCTGAGTGTTATGTTTAACAAATAAAATGAACTTCATGATGACAGATAATGTAGCCAAGTAAAAGATTGTCCTTATTCCAACCCCTGTCCTTATCTAAAGATTGACCACAGCTTTAGGTTGATTAATTGAGTGTAACTTGTTAATTTAAGAAACCTCTGGTCTTTGAGTGATGATAGTCACAAATAGCTTTCAGTTAGAATGATAGGAAGCAAATCACATAAAAGCAACCCCAAATGTATGAGCCTTATATTTATTTGGAGGAGGAGTCTATGGTTAACAATGTCAAAAGTAACAGTGAGGTCTAACAAAACAAGGATGGATAATGCTTCTGAGTTTAAAACCAAACAGAGGCAGTCACCTTCAGCAGAGCTGTAAAGAGAAGTCTCATTTTTTTGTGAAAGTGTAACTAACCTTCTAAGTTTAATACATTTTTTTTCAAACAGGATTTACTGCATTTATAGTTTAATGTTATGGACACCTTAACCATGCTATTCTACACAGTCAATGCATTAAAGCAAAGTATCAGTAATTACAAACCTTCTGTCAAATTATCTAATTCCCTAAAAATGAAATGAATTACAGATACACAGTGTACATTTTTATTTGTGGAAGTCTTTTGCATTATTATTTCTGGCAGGAAACCAAAAGTATGTACTCTGTACCAACTTTGCTTCATTTAGAAGCACTGATCTTGTGATCTTTATTATTCCCAGGCAATCCGGGCTATCAGTGTTGCGGTAATCAGCAGAATTGCATGGCTTTCTTTTTCTAACCCACATCTTTTGTGTGCTGTGAATATTTAAACTTTGCAAATGCTCAGAATATATATTAGAATAACTAATATTTTATTATCTCTGCAGAAAGCATTACAGTGAAGTAAAATTGTGTATATTCCAACTTAATAAATGCAGGAACAAGATGAGATTCTTTTAAGAGACTCCTACTGTTTTAAAAAGAAAAAAAAATGGAAAACTATTGATCTAGAATTTTTTTTTTAAATTAACCTTATCCTTTTTTCCAATGTATTTATACCCGTGAGTAAATTGTTGGTTTATTGCATGTCAGTTGAGAAAAAAATATTATTCTTTAAAGTTTTAAAATGTTTAATGGTATTGGGTGTAAAAAGCTTAATATATTTTATGATGTTTATTTTATTTTTTGTTTTGTCAAACAAGTAAGTTTAGAAATTGAATATTTTGTCTGAATACCAGTATATTCTCAATTTATTTATTCCATTTATGTGTCTATTTTATTATTTCAAGCTTTGTTTTCCTTTTCACAAAGAAAGAATTAAATCACTCTCTTGTTAAAAGGAAATCTAAGTTAAGGATTTTTAAACCGGTTTGCAATTCAGCTTGTATGCATCCTTTCTGAACTTACATGTCTGAAATGTAAGCAGTCTTGAGCTCTTTACTAGCATGGATGTTATGCATGGCTTTACATTTGTAAGGTCTCATGGGTCAGTTTCCATCTTGGAACTATAAATATTGTAAAACCCAACCACAGAATTCCAGTAAGTGTTCAGGCTGCATTTATGGATATCTGTTGAAAAATAATAACAGTTCCTATACAGTACATCAGTTGTATATTACTGAATGTAATTAATCATAAAGTAATATTTTTTTTCAATGTGTAATATTGAACATACCTTTGATCAACACCAAGTATTTCATCTGGAATAGTATTCTACTGAGCCTCTGATCTATTTGATATGACCTCTGTGCTTCCATTAGTAAAATGTGGATGCCTTGCTTAAATAATAATTGATGACAAAGAGTGTGTATTATACAATTTACATGGCACATTAAACAACATAATGTTTATTGAGAGCTTTTGTTATTGCCTGGCTCCGAATCCACATGCTTCTTTGAATATTGTAGTTTTAAGGCTCATATTGTGATGCAATGCAGGGAGTGTCTGGATTGGGGAAGACATGTTGCTGTAGAAACCACACCTGATGTGATGAACTGCAGGTGTAGGAGTAGTTTAAAACTATTCTGAATGCTTTATGGAGAAAAAAAAGATCCAGCAGTCTTGCTGTTGCTGCAGTGGTGAGAGGATGAATGTGGAGGCTCTGCTGTGAGAGAACCAGGCTGAAGCATGACAGTAGCGGGTGTGAGACTCTAGTCAGGGGGATGTTAGAAGAGCACGTGGGAATGACAATCCCAGAGGGGATTGTGAGAGGAATAGCCTGTGAGGAAAAGAGTGAGAATGTCAGTCTGGGAGGAGAATAATAGAAGTAATGGAGCTTTAGGAGATTGCCGAAAGATTTAAAGGGACAGCATCCTGCTAGGGTGTGAGAGAGCAGGGCTGTCGGTGTCCACTCATGAGTGAGTTGTGATTTGATTAGTGTTTTAGTGTGTGTGGACCAGAGTGGGTTGTGTGGTAGAGGGACCCCCCCAGCAATACATTGGTATCAGGGATGTGAGTGGGGTGTGCTGGCAACTGTGAGTTCACAACCTAAGGGTGTGAGAGTGGGGCGCCAGAGAGGTTGCGAGTGTGTGTTAGAGAGGGGCAGTGTGTAGTGCAGAAGAGACTACACAGTGTGTAGTGTGGAGAGGATTTCAAAACTGGAAGTGGACATGGGAGTCCGAGGCACTGGTTGTGTGTGAAACAGTGGCCTAATGGAATAGGAGCAGGAGGTCCCTAGTAGTGAGAGCAACAGGATCAACTTGGTGAAGTTGGGACTCTGAAGACAAAGGGCCAAGATGCAATGAAATGTGGAGTTCCGAGCGCGTGTAAGAGGAAGAAAAGGAACCTAAAGGGGTGTGACAGGGATGAATGGGAGCATGACCACGCCCATTGTGGTGTCAACTACCCTTACTTTTAATACTGTTTGACCGGCCACACCTACTTTCTTGACTTCATCTCGACACTTTTGTAATTTGCTGCTGTAGGAGAGGTAAAATAAGCACACAGGGAAATTCCAAACTGTATTTCCTTTATCATGTTTTCACACATCCCTTACACAGTTTTATGTAAAAATAAACTTTAGTGGTTCACAAAATGTTTTATCCTACCTGTCCAGTGTGGTAATAATAATAATAATAATAATAATTGCACTTATATAGCACTTTTCTGGACACTCCACTCGAAGCGCTTTACAGGTAATGGGGACTCCCCTCAACCACCACCAATGTGCAGCATCCACCTGGATGATGCGACGGCAGCCATAGTGCGCCAGAATGCTCACCACACATCAGCTGTCAGTGGGGAGGAGAGCAGAGGAATGTAGCCAATTCATAGAGGGGGATTATTAGGAGGCCATGATTGGTAAGGGACAATGGGAAATTTGGCCAAGTAGGGGTTACACCCCTACTCTTTTCAAGAAACGCCCTGGGATTTTTAACGACCACAGAAAGTCAGGACCTCGGTTTTACGTCTCATCCGAAGGATGGCACCTGTTTACAGTATAGTGTCCCCATCACTATACTGGGGCATTAGGACCCACATGGACCGCAGGGTGAGCGCCCCCCTGCTGGCCCCACTAACACCTCTTCCAGCAGCAACCTTAGTTTTTCCCAGGACTCCCATCCAGGTTCTGACCAGGCTCACATCTGCTTAGCTTCAGTGAATTGCCAGTTGTGAGTTGCAGGGTGATATGGCTGCTGGTAAATAGCATACTATCCACATACCCACAGGGTATTGCTACCCTGTCCAGTGTTCAGATTCTGTATTTTAGACCTTATCTTTACTGTCCTTCCACAGGGTCCTCCTGGTCCTCCTGGTCCCCCAGGTCTAATGGGAGAGCCAGGACCAAAGGTAAACCAATGGTGTTGTCATCATGAAAAGCCTTATAACTCACACAGCACAAGTGACATTCAAGAGATTGTCTGACAGCTAAGAAATGTTCAGTTCATTATAATTACAATTTTCTTGAAAACAATTTCTCAATAAAAATTAAGCTCAGTTCTTTACAACACAGCTCTTCTGTAAACAATGTAATGCTGTCATAGTTTTGAATGAGAGAAGTAGCCTTTGAGCTGCAAAGATGTGCAATTTTAAAGTAGAATTCACTTGAATGTGTTTATTTGGAAACCAATTCACCATCTGTGAGTGTGGCATCAAAAATCCAGAAGGAAACTATATTAGAAACAAATTATTGTCTGTTAATAACTTGCAGAATGTTGATGTTTAATCAAAGAAACTTAACGCTTCTTTTAAAAAATAATAATACAGTATGTACTCTTTGAAATTGTCTAGTGAATTGGGCAGCAGTGCCTGGCAGTAGTGATGCAAAATTATGATTTATATTATGCATTTGCCCAGAGTGTTGATCTTCATAAACTTAAGACTGTAATTGTTACTTTCATCTGCGGAATAGGGTGAACTGGGATTACCAGGACCACCTGGAGTTGATGGGGAAAAGGTAATTATTGATTGTAGATATGTCTAACATGCCTGTAGACGCTACTGTCCAGGTGGTGAGATGTTTCACCAAAATGTAAAACCACAGATTTCTTGCTGTTTTCATAATTAAGAGCCTTCATATCTTACTTTATGAACACATAAAAGCAGAAAGAAGCATAAGCATATCATAATACTGGTTTTCTAAAAGAAACCCAATCATTATCTCATGGAGAAGTGCCAATCCACTGGAAACATTACATTATTTATTTGGACCTTGCTATGTCTTTATAAGTTCAAGAATATGTCTATGTATTCTTGAACTTATTGCCTTACAAAGCTGGGATCATGTGAAAATTATTTACTCATCTTTGTCGAGTTCAAAATTTAGAGTTACCACATTTAAGTCATTAATTTATTTTTAGGTGGATGATATGATGATATCATAGTATTCTCTTTCAGTTCAAATGCAGTCACTGCTTACTAGCACAGTGCTTACAAGCAAAGGTCCTATGGGCATTTTGTTGTAGAGGGTCTATAACGAAGATTGCAGTGAAGCCAAGGACATTGGGAAAGCCATAGTTTTTGCAGACCAACTGGGTAGTCTCTACAATCCACCTGGTTAGCTGGTGCTTGGAGATCAGCATACCTGGATGGTGGCAAATGAAGAGCACAATAAGGTTCTCATACTTTATGCTCTGAAAGATGCAGCCTTTTATGTATAGATTTCCAGTTCCCTGATGGGGCACAACACATGGTGAAGCTACTGGAACTTGGACACAAAAGAATTGGTGCACATAAAAGGCTGATTAAGCACAAAGATGGGGTTAGGCCACAGTGTGGCTATGAAGACTGACTAAGCACTGAATGTCAGAGCCTGGAGCTCTCCCACTCCTCATCTTGATGTAATGGCCAAGAAAAAGACAATCTTCACCAAGAGCAAGTGCACACCTACAGGTGGAAGAGGCCCAAAAAGAGGTGCCAGCACCTACCAGCACCAACACAACTGCTGGAAGATGCTACTGTGGCATTGCATATGACTTGATTTATGATTTATGTAACTTGTGGCCTGTGAAAAATATAAAGTTCCAATCAGATAGCTTTCTTGTATTTGATCAGCAGTTACAATGACAGTTCTCAAAGAGTTAATGACTGCATTCCTGCAGAAAGGGAAGGGTTGTGATGACAAAGTTAAATCTGAAGCCCCAAGAGCTCTGTATAAAACTACAGTATAAGGAAGTGATGCTGTCCATAGGAATGTCTTATGTATAAGTAGGCAACCCTCATCCTTGAGTATGGAGTTCCAGCAAGTTTTCAATTAGCACCTGAAACACACAGCTAACTGGACTTGGCAATAACATGTAACACTTTCTTTGTTTGAAGCATTCTGTGGTTTTTCACATCAGCTGGAATGTACTCTGACATCAATATTAAAATTGAATAACATTGTTCTTAAGTCTCAGAATATATTCTCTAACTATGTTTCTGTTTTTTTAAAGGCTTGGGAGAAAAAATGAATTATTTAGTCTGTTTTTTTTCACATACACGAGAAAATGGGTATAATTATATTAAAATGTTTCCTTTGCCTTCTGAATGCAGGGCCCAAAGGGTTTGAAAGGAGACAGTGGTACTCCTGGAATGCCTGGTCTGAAAGGAGAGAAAGGGGAAATGGGCCTGTCTGGGCCTGCTGTAAGTGTGATTTAATTTTAGATATCAATGTCTTTCTAGAGACATAGACTACTGTTTTGTATTCACTAGCATGAAAAATCTGTGTTGATTTGTTGTGTTGTGTTGAAACCACTAGTTTGGTTTTACAGTACATAGTCTTGTTCCTACATATTGATGATACAGTACATGAAGTGTATACTAATCAAGGAATAGCTGAATTCCCTACCAAACCACTTATTAAAGAGCTACAGTACATGATGGACCTGTTTTGTTAATTGATATATAGTGGAAATTGTTTTAAAAGAGAAGAGCACCACACAAAGGGAGGGAAAAAGATAACTATTTTAAATGAGGCACAGTCATGAGTCATTGAAATTGTCTACATTTTGGTCAAGATAATAGTAATACATGTTAATATATATTCTTGGTTTAAAGAACTGATAGAATAACTCCATTATTTATTTTTCATTCTGGGGGCTTTAGGGTATTGATGGACAAAAAGGAGAGAAAGGGGACTCAATCTTGTCAAGCCTGGAAGATACCCTTGTGAGTTATACACAATATAATAAATATTATATAAAAAGCTGGAATGATTCAACCAAAAAATGGTATTAAGACCTACATGGTAGAGCGTATTTTTACTTTACATGTAAAGTATTTTTCGTTGCATTGTGATAGACATTGAAACATGTAAAGGTTAAACCCATGCAGAAAAGTAGAAAGAAGAGGCATAACATTTTGGCTGTTTCTCCTTCTTCTGGTATGAAGCCTTCAGTTGAAGAAGGTGCTAAAGCCAAAACATTGTGTATCTTCTACTTTTTAGCATGGGCAACTTGTTTCTTTGCAGCTAATGTCTGCTTATGCAGCTCCGCACTTGAACTTCTCAAAATTGAAATGTGACCTGCTTAATTACAGGATTGTGTTTTTATTGATATGAGGCTTTCGTGAGGTGAAGAACATATCTCAGATTTACATGGCACTGCAAGCAGAAATTAAGACCTCACTATTTTTGTTGTCGTGTTTCAGGTTCAAATGATCTCTCCGCCTGGCCCTCCTGGTCCCCCTGGCCCACAAGGACCCATGGTAAAGTGCACCACCAGTCTGTAAAGTGCATGGAATAAGTGCATAATTTTATAGAAAATAATCCTGTACTGTAAAGTTAGAGAAAGGGCACGGCAAATAGTTGAATAATTGCAGTTTGTAGAATGATTTAAACTTGCTGGTGCAAGGAAGAATGCTCCCACATTTTTAATATTTTATATTTTTAATACCTTTTGAACTACTATTTTTAAAAACACTTTTTGTTTTCTCTAGGGTCTTCAAGGTGTTCCAGGGACAAAGGTAACTTTTTAAAACTTGAGATACAGTGGTGCTAGAAAGTTTGTGAACCCTTTGTAATTGGCTTGTAATTTTGGCCCATTTCTCCTTACAGAACTGCTTCACCTCAGGGATTAACATTTCTTGCATGAACTCCCTGCTTCAGGTCCTGCCACATTTCTATTGGATTAAGCTCTGGACTGTGACTAGGCCATTCCAAAGCGCAAAATTTCTTCTGCTGAACCATTCTTTGGTAGACTTACTTGTGTGTTTAGGGTCGTTGTCTTGCTGCAAGACCCACCTTTTGTTGAGCTTCAGTTCATGGACTGATACCCTGTCTTTCTCCTGTAGAATTTGCTGGTATTTGCTGGTACAATCCAGAATTCATAGTTCCATCAATGATGGCAAGCTGTCCTGGTCCTGTGGCATTAAAACAGCCCCAAACCATGATACTGCCACCACCGTTTCCCATTTGGGATGAATATCTTATGTTGGAATGCCATGTTTGTTTTCGCCAAACAACATTCTCATTTAAGACAAAAAGTTATATTTTTTACTCATCCATCCACAGAATATCCTTCCAGTAGTCTTCTGGTTCATCCAGGTGATCTTTAGCGAACTTGAAACGGGCAACAATGTTCTTCTTGGAGTGTAGTGGCTTTCTCCTTGGTATCCTCTCATCAACACTATTCTTGTTCAGTGTTTGCCTGATGGTGGACTCATGAAAACTGATTTTAGCCTTAGACGTTACCCTGGGGTTCTTTGTGATCTCCTAGAAAATAGACTCCTAGGGAGAGTAACAATGCTGTTAAAATTTGTACACTATCCATTCTGATGAGCATCAACAACTCTTTTTCTGAGGTCCTCAGAAATCTCCTTTTATCGAGGCATGGCATGTGTTCACAAACCTATGTGGTGAAGACCAGACTTTGGTAGTGAAGACTCAGGTTTATACAGTATTTTTTAAATAGGACAGGGCCGCCCAGTTTCACACCTGATTGTCATCCTATTGATTGACACTCCTGACTCTAATTATCCCCTTAACTGAACTGATAATCCTAGAGGTTCACATACTTTTTCCGACAAAGGCATTTAATATTGAATCATTTTGATCAATAAATGAATGAAAAAGTATATCCTTTTGTGTGTTGTTTGTTTTATTTGGTTTCTCTATCTATTTTTATGACTTAGATGAAGATCTGATCATATTTTTGCAGAATTCATAAAATTCTCTAGGGTTCACAAACTTTCTAACACACCACTGTATATCTACAGATGCAGCCATTCAAAATGCACGGTAAAACCCTGTATTGCGTGAAATTATCTACAGTTTAGCGCACTTTACCGCAGTACGTGATTGGCTGGCCAAAATGACCAACAGGCAGCACTCGTTGTGCCTTGCTTGTTAGTGAAATGATTATTTAATCTCTTTACTGTGCATGGTTAAATCTGCTTAATATTGAATATTAATATGGAATTTTACACCTAAAGGAATTTTTGTAGCTAAGCATAAAAAGAAGAGGAGCATAACATGTCTGAAGGTCATTAATATAGAACATATTATGTAAACTGTATATGGCTGTTATTGGTAGTTTAAATAAAAATACACGCCATTATTCCACGTTCTTCATAAACATTTTAAGCATCAAAGTTTTTCATTCAGTTATATACTGTGGTTATTTTGGAAAAGTTTTTATGTGCTCCTATATGTGCTGATTATATTCAGTTTATATACTTCATAAAAAGTTTTAACCTTTTCTATGAATACTTGCGTTATCGCAGTAAAAAAATGCATACTTTTTAGAATTTGATTAATAGGGAATATAAGATGGAATCACGTATCTAAATTAATGATGATATAATGATGTTCACATAGCTTAAATTATTATAGTAGTATACTTTCTTTGTAAACATCTGCAGTTAGATTAATTCCCCTGTGATTACTTGGAAACTTTTTGCCTGCCCTTTTCAGTTATAGAGTAAGTTATCAAGTGGCCCATTGGTGTAATGGCTTTGGCATATGACTTGCATGCTGGAGGTCGGGAGTTCGAACCCAGCTCTTGCTATGAGTTTTCTTTTAACAAATAAACATTTCTTTGAAAACGAAAATAGTAAGGAAAAAGGGCAGCCAAATAAATAGTCAAAAAGGAAGGGCAGGACTCTAGAAACTATGAAGGGGCTGCTAGGCTGTTGCGTATGTCCGTTAGTCATAAAAGGGAGCCTTGGGTGCACAGAAACCAAATGGTGAGCTCGCTAAAAAGGGAACCAAATGAGTAGAAGAGCAGGCTTAAGCTGAGGCTGCTGTGAACGGTCAGTTGGTCAAAAAAGGGAGCCTTGGGTGCGGAATAATCGAATGGCGAGCCTTCTAAACATGGCAGACTTGGAGCTGAGTCAGGCAATGCAGAGAGCAGGCAAGGAGCTGAGGCTGGTGCACTAGGCACTGCTTAGATCTGGCTTGGAGCTGAAACTGCTACACAAGGTGACGCTGAGGGCTGCTAAACCTGCTGCAAAGAGTGAAGGCTGGCTTGAGGCTGCTGAACCTTCTTCACAGAGCAAGGACTAGCTTTAGGCTGCTGAACCTGCTTTGCAGAGTGAGGACTGGCAGAAACAGGGAGCCTCCAGTACAGGGGAAACCAGATAGCAAACCTCCTGAAAAAGTAGACCAAAGAGGTTTGCAGTACACGCTTAAGGCTGCAACTTCTGTGTAGAGTGAAGTGCTGTCTTGCTCAGCGAAGATATGTGGAGAGTGAAAGCAGTACTGTTAGTGATAAAAATCTGGGGTGAGATGAATAGGGGCCCCCTCAATGTGCAACACAACAGTTCCTTAATTGACATATTCAAATGTGAGCCAAAAAAATCCTTCCCGTGGCCTTTTCTGTTGCTGCTCTGCTAATATAGGCTGTTAAATTTTGTTATAAACTATAATATTATCAGTTGTGGATGTAAGTGTTCTAGTTTATTTCACTGTTGATGTTGTAAATGACTCTCATCTTCACCGAAGATGACAATATCAGTGCAGTTTCAGTTGCTACATGTATTTCATTGAATGCTGTTCATTTAATTTTGGACAGTAATAAATGTTGGGATAATCAATTTTATTAATCTTTCATTACATGTAACATAATGAAACATTACGAAAGACCTTAATCTTGCATTAAACTATGTTGTAATTGTTTAAAATTAGAAACATGTAGTTGCAACTGGTAAACTCACACCATCCTCCAAACGTATGAATCAAGTCACTGTAATAATATATTTGTATTTCATTAGGTTTTCAGTCTGTCAGATCCATATAACTAGTGGACAGTAAACAAGCCACATTTACTAGCTACAAACGTGGAGTACTTGAGGTGTTTAACTAGAAGGTAACAGATTCACATTTAACCTTATTTCTTTCAGTTATTAAAGTACATTTTATCTTTGCAAAATGTTTGCTTCTTGATCTTGTTTGTAAGTTATTATGTGTTCTTCAAAACTGCTTAATAAACATTTTCTAGTTATACTAATCATTTAATTGTTCTAAATGATCAGATAAGTTTTGGGGTTGGAGCTGATGATAGTGTATGTGCAAATTGTGATCTGGAGGGGCACCTTTCCAAGATCTTGCCTAGAGTGGCCAAAAAGCTCGGGTCGGCCCTGCCTTTAGAGGACATAGATATTTCAGTGGAGCTTGTTTTTTTCATTATTGAGGAGTGAGTTGTTTTGATTGCTTTCTATAGGGGGAACCTGGAATGGATGGAGTGAAAGGGGATAAAGGAGATTCTGGAGAGAGGGGACCCCCTGGACTGAAAGTAAGTCTCCATTATGATCTTCAGTCATGGCTGGGTTCTATGTTATTTTATTCAGCCATTCATATTTTTGTCTTTGCTCTATGTAATTGGTCTTCCATACATATACACATACACTATTTCTTTTTCTGATGCCAAAGCAAAATAACTTTTGTCATGTGGCATCGTCTATAGTTATTTCTTGCTTTACATTCTTGTGAACTGATGTTTCCACTCTGTTCAACAGAGATGTAAAAAGTTTCTTCCAAGTCCCATACTTTAGCTAAAGACGTACAATGACACTTTGTCTGTGGAATGTAGGACAGATTTCCAGATGTATTTTATTGGAGTTCCACAAATCAGTGTCTCACCTCCATGCAGAGGTATTAAAATGGACTCATAGCCTATTTTCAATCTCATGTCATCCTGTTTTGGATCTGCAATTTTTATATCTCCCTGTATGAACAGCTTTCTGTCTGTTTTTAGGGTCCACCAGGTCCTACTGGATTGGTTGGCCTTCCCGGTACCAAAGGTGAAAAGGTAGAGTCATTAAATAGTAGCTTTGTATTGCAGGTCTTCTGTTTATGAGGGTCATGTCTAAAATAAAACACCTATAAAATTGTTTTTAATATTTGTTTTTAAACTGATGAGTCATCAATACAATATTTACTGAACAGAGCTGACTGTTGAAGAATGTGTGCCAGTTTGTGAAGTTCAAAGAAAGCTATCAAAGTGATCTTATTTTATTTCTGTCATGACCAGTGCCACCGCCTAAAGGAATCAGGAGAGCACTTGTCATGACAGTTTCAGTAAAAATAAATGAATTAACTTCAAAGATAGTTGATAGTGCTCACAACAGACTAATATACAGATGAAGCCATTCAAAATGCACAGTACTACCCCATACCAACTAAATTGTCTACAGTACCGCAGTGATTGGCTGGCCAAAATGACCGACAGGGGCACTTGTGGTGCATTGGTTGTTAGTGAAACTATTTAATCATTTAGTCTCTTTACTGTGCATGTTTTAATCTACTTAATATTGAATATTTATATGGAATTTTACAACTAAAGGGACATTTTAGTAGCTGAGCATAAAAAGGAAGAGGAGCATAATGCATGTGAAGGTCATAAACAATATTAATTTAGGAACATAAACATATTATGTAAACTGTAAATGGCTGGTACTGGTGGTATTGGTAGTTTAAATAAAAAATACACACCAGTATTCCACTTTCTTCCTAAACATTTTAAGCATCAAAGTCTTTCATTGAGTTACATAATGTGGTTATTTTGGAAAAGTTTTTACGTGCTCCTTCTGATTATATTAATTTTTTATACTTCATAAAATGTTACAATGTTTTTACCTTTCCTATGAATATTTGCGCTCGTTATCAAAGTAAAAAAACACATACTTTTTAGAGTTTGATTAATAGGGAATATGATATGGAATCATGTATCTAAAGAAATTAATAAAGATATAATTATATTCATATAGCTCAAATTATCACAGTAATACACTTTCTTTGTAAATGTCTGCATCAGTTTAACTCATTCACCTGTGATTACGTGTGTGTGCCTTGCATACTGGAGGCCAGAGGTTCAAACCAAGCTGTCGCCATTAGTTTTCTTTTAACAAATAAACATTTCTTTGAAAAACTAAAATAGCAAATATTATGGACACTACATTTTTTATATTTCTAAATATCACATGTTCAAAGCTAAGTGATTTATTAATAACAATGAATAATTTCAAACTGCTACTGTACTGCCACTGTAGCTTAGCTTGCGGGAAATACATTTATTTGTCCTGCATCAAAGTTTAACTCATTCAGAGTGCCCTACATTACAAACTCCAAGAGTTTCATTTTGTCTATTGCTACAATATAGACAGCAATGTAGTTAAAAGCAACATGTCAAAATGTTTTCAAAATAACCACAAGTGAACGAGTTGAGGCATTTGATGATAATAGAGAAATCATAACAATGACCCCTTGTTGCTAATCATGCATACCCAACTGAAAGAAGGGCATACTTTTTAGAATTTGATTATTAGGTAATATAATATGGAATCACATATCTAAAGAAATTAATAACAGAACCTCCGTCTTGTCTCCATCTATCACCCTCTCACAATTCATCATGCGTGAATGAGTCAAATTAAAAATGAAACATGTTAATAAAGAAAGTGGATTACAGTAATACTACCAGCTATATAATTCCATATATTAAGATCTATAAATTAATATCTTTATTAATTTCCTTAGAAACGTGATTCCACATTATGTTCCCTTTTAATCACATTCTAAAAAGCATGCATTTCTTTTACTGTGATAACGAGCGCAATTATTATTCATAGAAAAGGTTTAATCACTTTTCATTTAACGGGCACAGTAAAGACATTTACTGTAAATCTTTCTACGACAGACCAACGGACCACGAGTGTCCCTGTCGGTCAACCAATCATGTACCGCGGTACCGCGCGTCATTGTGCGTCACAATGCGCGACGCCAATTACCTCCGGTACGTGTCTGTACCGCGCACTTTGAATGGCTGCATCTGTACATTCCCATAGATAAATTGTAATTAACTGAATTGTCATTCTTTTTAATGAGATACAGATACAGCCATTCAAATCGCGCGAAGTACGCTGCGTCAAAACGCGGTAGGCATCATAATGCATCATACCTCATGTTATGATAAAAGTATCTGGAAGCACCTTGTAAAACTGCCAGGTGGAGCTAATAAAGCTTAACATCTCAAGTACAGCATTTGAGCTGTCACCAGAAAATGCCGGGTTTGGAATCCTGCTCTGCTGAGGGACAATCTTTTTCCAATTAAGAATTTAAGTTGTACTGTATACTCTTTAGACTTTTAATAATTTTAAACTGTGTAAAGCATGTTAATCATGAAACAAAAGTACACAACCTTCCACCTTTATCATAAATATTTTAATTATGCATAAATATTTTATGCATCAAAGTCTTTACAGAAGATATTATTATTATTAGTATTAATAATGAATGATCTTACACAGGCTGTGAGCTCAGAGTATTACCATGGTCCACTTTCTTTGTAACAGTCTGCATCAGTTTAACTTATTCACCTGTGATTACGTGAAGACATTTTGCCTGCCCTTTTCAGTTACATCTTAAGTTGTCAAGTGGCACGCTGGTGTAATGGCTTAGGTGTGTGCCTTCCATGCTGGAGGCCCAGGGTTTAAACCCAGCTGTCGCCATGAATTTTCTTTAACAAATAAACATTTCTTTGAAAAACGAAAATAGTAAATATTATCGACACTATATTGAATTTGTTGGTATTTCTAAATATCACAACACGTTCAAAGTTAAATGAACATGATACAAGGGTTAATTGCACAATGGACCGCGCAAAGAACAGACATTGTGTGGTACAGCACGGAGCTCAGTCAATTAAAACAAGTTCAGTTTAAAAAAAACTGCAACGGACATAAAAACTCCCTTGCTTTTAACAGAGCGTTTCATAATTTCTAACTACAAAAATTATTTAAACTGCGACACTTATCATTCAACCAGAGCTCGAAATATCACAAGGATCCTCTAGAGCACAGCAAAGACTGTATTAAAAGAATCGCGTATCTCAAGAAATTAATAAGATATAATTATATTCGTG